GAAGCTCTGCGGGACAAATATAGCTATCCAGGTGTCCATATATGGTTGCATTGTTGTTGCTTTAACATAACCGCACTGTCGTTTCTCACTATCAAAATATCTTCCTTTTGTGCCGCTGTAGCTAATCTGGGCCGCCGTCCATGTATCTTTCTCTGGCACCTACACGCTCATGCACATATGCACACACTCACGTAAACACATGTCTGTAGGTACCCCACTGTGCAACACAACGTGTAGCTTTAGACTCTTTGTGCCTGTGTGTGTCGTAAAGACATTTTCCATTGTTTATAGTTTACATTAACATTATCTATATTTATAGAAGCAGGAAGCTCGGGCCAAGAACATTTTTTCTGCTCACACTCAAGTTCCCATTTGTCTTAACCATTTCTACATTAGGAGGGCTGAACAATTCCCCGAGTTGCATCAACAAATGTGAAGAAGGCGTTACAACACAAGGCAGGCTGAGTTAGCGAAAACTAAAAACAAACTGTGTGTGAGTAAGACAACAAGAGAAATATAAAAACTTGACAAAAATGAGAAGAAACTGACAAAATGGAGCCAACAGAAAGGGACAAGTGTCTTGTAACTGTGGGCTGTTTCATTGCTAGTTCACCAAGATGCTCAGATTTGAATTGGGGTATCAAATCTTATTGACAGTTGAGTCAGATGTGTGTGTTCCCATGTGTGTGTGTGAGGTTATCCCTGTGCTGCTGACAACAGGTTGGATGGATTCCTCCTTTTTCACGGTTCTGATGGTGTCATTTATATGTTGCAACATAAACTGGGAGTTGTCAGACTAAGCAACATTTTCCACTCTCTGTTAGTTTGCAGATTTTCTTTGAAGTGTTTCTGAGATTTCCCTCTGCACACAACTGTTATGAGCTGTTATGTGCATACTTGTGGCTGCCCTTTAGCTCGCACAAAAATCTCAGAAATTCTGCGATGCCAGAGCCAACTTTTTTTTTTTTTTTTTTTTTTTTTTTTTTTAAACATTTTCTTAAATCGCAGGTTTTTCCCATTTTGACTTTTAGTCAGTGCATGTCTAGACTCTGTCTGCGTATTTTATATGTAGTCTTTGTTTACATGTGACTCACTGTCTGGAAGACTAAGCTGTTTGTGTAAACAGGCCGATACAACTAATAAAGTCAATGCTGTGTGTGTATGCTTGCAGTTTGGGGGTGTTGATTGTTTGTCGGGCTGATGCAGTCTCACTGTAGCAGGCTGCGTGTATTTGATGTGGGATTGATCGGGGGCCAAACATGAAGGCTGGCTTTTGGTAGAGACTTTGGTTTCCCAGAACAACTGCTTCCTGTTTCCCAAACCTGGTAAAAGTGTAGGAAATTGTGTCACATAGTCTGTGTGTGTGTGTGTGTGTGTGTGTGTGTGTGTGTGCATTTGTGATGTTTTTGTGCTTTTGAATCTGAAGTCATTAATTCAGATCATTGGAACAGTGGTAGATCCATTGTAATACAGCCATTGTTGTTTTCAGCAATAGTTATTCCATGTATTTCCATTCTATACTGACCTCTCTATATAGTAGTATTTATTTTTAGTTGCAGTGTCTGCCATTCCTGTGCTGGATTAAACTTAACCATAGACTGTAAAAATAATGGACATAGCTACCGTGACATCACCCACTGGTTGGTAGACTCCCATTTTGAAGCTTCAGGTTCAGCATTTCAGCCGTTGCCATCTTGGTTTTGAAACCAGAAGATACCATATTTGGGTGAGAGACTGGCGCTGTAAAGGGGTGAAGGGTGGATCTGACTGAGAAGCCGAGGATACTGTCAGGAGACAGCCTGTCACTCAAAGTGGCCCGCCCTTAATTATGCGATAGCGACCCAAGCCGTCTTTTGTACCAGGCTGTAAACATGTTTATTCCTGGTGTAAAGTTGGACATTTTAACATGGGTGTCTGTGGGGATTGACTGGCTTCTGGAGCCTGCCTCAAGTGGCCATTCAAAGAACTGCAGTTTATGCCACTCCTGCGTTGGCTTCATTTTTAGCCCCAGAGGTTGCCACTTGACCTAAACCTGAGGGATTCACAGGAAATGATGCATGCATGCAATTCAGCTTAGCCATTTTAAAGGTTATCTCACCGACATCAGCCAGTATATAGAGTATACAGTATATAGAGATGGATGGCATGACAGCTCCCCAAAAGTGAAGCCAAAACATCTTGATGATAGTATCAGCCACGCCCCCTTCAAAACTCACAGTACAGGTCAAATTTTTTCTAAAGGTGGTTTCTGTCATTTAAGGTAGTTCTCAGTCACAGGAAACACAGTGTATTTGTAACAACCGTTGTTCATCAAATATGAATCTACAAAACATGATCATTGTCGACATTTACTGAAAGTAGACTGCGGCTGCAATTATAGCCGTCAGGGCCACTGATTGGATAAAAGCATACAGTCATCATAGTGGTCATCAGCTTGGATATAGTATGAATAAATGTGTTGCTGAAAGCTGTGTTAGAATGGCATTCATTTTTTATTATCATACATTCTCTCTCTGATACACTTTGTCTTTCTTTTTTTTTGTTTTATGATTGTCTTTCATATTTAGGGGGCATGTCATTGGGGAATGACATCCCAATCTCACATGTAGGATGCAGCATCTCTTTGAAAGTAAATACACACCCACACACACCCCACACCATGTTACACTCTCCCTAATGTCGTCAGAGAGTGATGGGGCACCGTCCTGCCGACAGAAAAAAGTTGTCTGTTCCATCTCAGGCAAATAACAATAAGCCCAGGGCTGGATTCCAATGGGCTTTCTCTTTGAAATGGGATACCAGCACACGCATTACAAATATATCTCTTGTTTTATCTTCCGGGCCAGGCCCATGGAAAAATTATTCCAAATACCTGCCGCGCTTTATCTGGAACCCTGGAATAGGTTAGGCCCAGCCGGGAACACGAGGATGTCTAAAATAAGGCCTCTATTACGGGATGGAGTGGAGATGGATGGGACGGAGCGGGAAGGGACGGGGATCGGGGGTATTTTAGGTGTATCGGCCCTGTGAAAAAGGGCTTGTTGCGGGGGCTTGGAGCTGCTTTAAAGTCTACTATGTGGGCCGCCGTCAGCTGTTGTACAAACTGCATGTGTTGGGGGAGGGCTTGTGTGAGTGTGTGTATGCTTGTGTGGGCTCACACGTCCATAGCCGAGCAGGAATATAAATAACATTTTTCCTACAGATGTTCTCACCTTGACAAATCTGTTCTTGGCCCATGTGATACTTCTTGGCATATGGCATGATGGACCAACGTAACTCAACCTTTATTTACTTTCCCCCAACCTCTCCCAGCCCCATTGATTTTTAAGAACAACATTTACATTTGTGGTCTTTAACTGATGATGTTTTCCAGAGTGACTGATAATAAGCAAGCGTTTCTCAAGGACTTGAAGAGGACACGTAGCTTGAGACATACGCGCTGACTGCTGTGTGGATTCAAATCATGATTTTTTGTTCGGCAAATGCCAATAGATGTAACTGCTCCCTTTTAAATCAGATATTGTAATCATCTTTATCTCATTATTTTGGAGCATAAATGACTAAATGTTATATAACCTGCTTACTCATAACCTAATTACTGTCTAACAGTTTGCATTGAAACCTTGTCAAGAAACGGTATCAAAATTAATTGAGTATGGAGGCTTCTACTGGGATGCAATGCTAGAATAACTGTCTATTTCAGAAAGATTATTTGATTATAGCTGTACTGCTATACAAAGGGGATTCAGAGTAGACTCAAGGCAAGAAGAGAGGTGTTAGGGAGAACAGGACGAGGGAAGAAAAGAGTGTTGGAGGTGATGGGAGAGAAATGAGAGGCAATAAGGAGATAAAGGGTAAAGCCAAGAGCGAGGGGAAAGAACGTGGCAGAGAAACAGAGAGGGGAAGAGATGATAAGTGAAACAAGTTCATAAGATGTTAGAAGACTGGGACAAGAAAGCTGTTGAAAGTGCGCTCCTTGAGGAATTCAATTATCTCTCCGCCTTTGTTTGGTGGGACCCGTCACAGAGTCTGTCACCATCGCCTGTGGAGCCCTGATGACATTTCCTTCAGCAGTCGAGTGTGTGTGAACACCACGTACCAGACTCCTCGTAGAAACACACTGCCATCTACATAGTTCCCATGGCAGAATGGAGAGGGCCAGCATAGTTGTCATACCAATGATGCCAAGGCACCAGTGGAGAGAGATGCTGATCTTTTTGAGACACATCAGAAAGATATGACATCACAGAACAGCACTGGCAAACCGAACCTACCAGGCTAGCATCGCCAGTGCAGGATGACTCACATGGCATCTGTGAGTGAGGACTGATAATGCCAACATGGTGCCCATCTGGCAGATCAGTGTAATTTATCACCATGCCATAGATCAGTGGTTCTCAGCCAGGTGTTTGGACCCCCTTTCCCAGGGGGCTGAAGATCATTTTTTGGGGGGTTGTGATAATAATGGGATTAAAAAAGAATTTTTGAACTATGTAAATGCTTTTGTTTCTAATAAACCACAAAAGCTAAAAAGGCAAAATAATTATTAAATCAGCTGTTCTTTTTTCTACATATACACCCTATGACAGAGGGGTCATGAGTGGACATGTCAACATCTAACGTCTAATTACATAATGACCAGCTGGGTTTATTCCTCCGCCATCAAACAGCAGAAACTCTTTTTGACTTATATTAAGACACATTTAATTAGTCAAATTTAATTAAATTAGGCAAGTCACAGTTTTATGGAGATAAACTTGCAAGCTATAAAGAAGAGAAGAGAACTGGCTTTCATGAAATGCCTTTTCTGAACTAAGATGTGCAGAACTCTCCTCTATTCTTTTGGCTTTGTCGCACATTAGCATGTGTCTGTGGCTCCAGAGGTAGAAACTCTTACAATGGATCCACTAAGTGATCAAACTTCACGGGGTCCATGCACTGAATCCATTCTCTCACCTACAGTATCCCTCCTGTCCCTTACCCACCCATCTCTCCTCCAGGGCTGACTCCGCCAAGATGACGCAGCCCATGAGGGGGGACCAGGCCCACCAGCCGGCCCCAGCCCGCAAGACGGCCAGCCTGTCCTCGCCAAGCGCGGCTCGCCGCCTATACCGCAACTTGTCTGGAAAGTTCCGTGTGGGCACCAACCCCCCTGCCCTGGAGGACAGTGTGGTGTCAGGACGGGGAGGAGACAAGGAGAGGCTGCGCAAAACCACCATAGTAAGTCAGAGGGAGACAGAGAGGGAAAAAATAATAAGCTCAGGAACATTGTAGTCTAAAAATAGCCAGGGGAAAACATATAGACTTGGATAGTGAGTGAACCTTAGGTAGTAGCATCATACACCCACCAATCTCACTATCGTAGAGCAAGATAGAAAATATATTGTGAGAAACAATATGTGTGTGTGTTCTCTATGTGTGTGTGGGGAGAATGAGTTCACTAATACAAGCTGACATGCCAAAGGTATCATGTGCTTTTTTAACTTCACGTTCTTTGTGCCGCAGTTCCAGAGCAATGAAGCGCTGTTTGAGGCAGTGGAGCACCAGGAGATGGACTTGGTACAGCTGCTTCTGTCCCAGTACAGTTTGGAGGAGCTGGACCTCAACACCCCAAACAGTGAGGGCCTCCTGCCTCTCGATATCGCTATCATGACCAACAACGTGCCCATGGCCAAGCTGCTGCTGCGAGCTGGCGCCAAGGAGAGCCCCCACTGTGAGTAGAGGAACACAATGTACCTGTGGTACCTCCCTGGTCATCATTTAAATGTTAATGGAACAAATCAAAAACTGCAGTTCCTGGAGCATATTGCACAGTGGGTGCTGTCCAAAGTGTTCATGACATGAAAAATATTCTGGTGAACACACATTGTAGTGTCTTGTCCCCATAATGGGATTAAATAGTTTTTTGTTTGTTTGTTTCATTTTACAGCACATCAGAAACACCCACTTTATGGAGTGTGTTCATTTTCTGTGATTGATGACAACAGTGGAATTAAACCCAAAACATACACATTTAAAGGGAGGTCATAAAAAGTTGTGAAAAGCTATCGCTATGCTACTAGCATATTTTTATGCACATTTTGAAGTATTGCATTAGAAAAGCTGTATGACAAAAATTACACTCACTTAAGGTTGATTTTGCCTTTGTGGTAAAGAGTTGATGCACCAAATGGGATATGGAGACATCCTTATACCGTAGTAAACATTTAACTTAAGTAACGTGCTGTCAGTGTCTTCCCAGATATTATTATAACAGTACAATTTGTCTTTGTCTCCAAACAGCAAGAAACATGGCCAGTACTAGCTGACATGAAAATCAATTAAAACTTACTCAATGGAAACAAATTCCTGAAGACCTCTCCATTTTTCTCTGGTTCGTAGATGGGAGAGATGGCCAAGGCAACTTGTTTTGTTTCCGGTTTGGACATTCTACTACCGCTACTCTGTTTCCTGGCAGATTACAGCCATGGTTAAAACGTAGCCTATACCGCAAACTATTGACGAAACTATGATTTGCATAGCCTCGTTTATTTGCTGCAAGTCAGTTAGTGGAAAGGCACCTAATTTGCATTTATTTCTTGTGACATTTCTAAAGTTCAATTAAGAATTTGCTAGACAAATAAATGGAATAGGGCTGACACAAGTGCCTTGAAGCTTCGATCTTTGATCTGTACTATGGTATTCGGTGTCCACATCAGTATTTGAATGCTTAGTTTTCCTGAAACCATTACCTCAAAAATTCCAAATAGAACATAAATTAAAAAATAGTAATTCAACATAATTCATCATGCATCAACATTAATTATAGCTTTTCTCAAACAAGGACATTTAAACTTAGTGATAGGCCTGTATGTGCCGGTGTTGTGACTTGGACAGTTTGACCACACATGACAGGCTTATAACAGATAAGAGATATGCTAGAATAATGTTAAAAAAGTCAAACATGAGGAATAGTTTCAAAATCTAAGAAGATTACCTTCAAAAAGTCAAGTCCCATGTATGCCAGAGGAAACAGGCATATCACAAATCTACAACCAGCTTAGAAAACTGTAAGTAACAGCTTAGCTGTTTTACAGAGTTTTTTTTTAGTTGTTATGACTTATGTTGCTGTGACCTGCATGCTAACAAAGTGACTAATATTCACATTATTTAAAGCCACAGTGTGTAGGAATTTCTCCCATCTAACGTTGAAATCATATATTGCATTCAAACATATAGCGCACTCTAGCACCTCACTGTTTCAAACACATATTGCAACAACGGTAGCCGCTGTGTACCAAAAAGCTATGATAACATTGATGAAACCATGTCATCCGATACTTCATGGAGCATTCATTCAGGCTCCTACACAGACACACGTGGCGCGAGTTGACAAACACCCTCCTCACCATGCTGGCTGTGTTTACAATGTAGGACTGTTGGGACGGGTGTAAATCGAAACAAACCAATCACGTCTTGTCCTTTGACAACTGACAAGTGGCTCAACCTCACACACCTCATCCCTCTCCTCACATCACTCGCTGGCCTGTGATTTCATTACCTTTCTCCTTCAGCAGCTCTTTCCACCTGGGAAAGGCTACCCTGATGTTGACCCTCCTTTTTTGAATTTGCCGGTCACGCTGCCTTTTTGATTCCCCTTTGCGCTTTCTTGGCGACAAGGATTCCGTCTCCCGTGATGCTGCATATGCATGATCCTGCATTATGCTCAAAGAGTGGGACTTTGTTATACTGCAGTAGTGCCGGGATAGTAGCAAAACGCGTCTTGCTCCTCTCCTTGGGCTTCTCAGTCAGGCAGCACTGGCCTGGCTCTCAACGAAAACGCAGAAGGCTCGGCTGTATGTCCCTTGCTGGCGGATGTATTCTCAAGATGGCGAAATGTTATGGAACCCCTCAAACGACTTACACAATGTACAAACAAATCTGAAATTCTCCTTTTACTAGAATAAGTCAGATTATTGGTGGAGGTGATAATAAACCAATGATGACGTATTTATGAATGCAGACATCAATTTTTGCCAATGAACAACTGAAAATGTTACACAATGTCCCTTTAAGGTGCATTGATTGAAAAGTGATGTTTGAAAAAATGTCTCGCATTGTCTCCCCACCCCACCAAAGTTTTGATTAATCACTGACATTTCTCACTGAAGCTTTGATGCCTTAAAACTGGTATTCTGAGCAGCCCTAGAGTGGAAACACAACTACTGTTACAGTTCATATGCACAAAGATAATTAGTACATAAAAGTCAGCAGTAGCTGTTTTGAACTTGTGTTTCCATAGAAAATATCCAAGATATCTTCAGGGGTCATTGTAATGTCTTTGTACTGAAAGAGCAATGTTTCTCTCATGTATTCAGTCTTTTGTATTAAATTGTATTTTTCCTTGTAAAATTTGACAGCTCTTTATTTTGTACTTTTGTAGTGGAGTTTGGCTGGCCCACAGGTGAATCATACCATAGCAAATGCTACCTTGGCTTTGAGCAGGAAGCAAGTAGATGTGCCCAGTCCTTTGGCCAATCGAATCTTCTGTGATATGTGCAAAAGCCAAAGGTAGAAGTCTTCTGCCAATCACAACTTGTACCCTTTGCAAGTTATGATGTGAGCGAGGCAACAAAACCACATCTGTCACTCACTGACAGATCTGTTATCATTTTTTTCCTATGCAGATTTCAGTCTTTAGCATGGCTCAGAACTGATACCAGACAAGAGTTTGTTTGGGCTTCCACAGTGGCTCGATGGGAATCAACAAAGCGGACGCCAAAGCCGCTGTCACGACAACATCAGCTGCTGCCACGACAACATCAACTGCCACCAAAGCAACCACAGGTGTTGCCCAAAGCAACAACGACGCACACATAGCTTATAGCATGATCTCTTATCATGCATACCAGTAGTGCATTCATCCGCACACTACTGACACATGTCTTTTTGTTTTGTGCTGGCAGTGAAAACATATTAGAGGCGATGAAGGGGTGGTAATCATGATGCAATATTAGTCATCTTCGTAAGCACTTTTCATTGTCTGTGATCTGCTGAGCCTCCGCTCCCTTCCTCTGTTAATGATTAGAACTCGCCAGCAAGGCTCCTAGGCTGTTTGTGTTTGTACTTGTGCGCACACACACACACTCACACACACTCTCCAGAGCTGAGCCAGACGTCTTATAAAGGTATCATTAAATTGAAAACACTTGAATGGAAAGTGATGTTTACTGAAGTTTGCTCTTTGATTGTGCTCTCTCTCCAGAACTCAAATAACTCATGTGAGAGTGTAAGCTGTGTGTGTGTGTGTGTGTGTGTGTGTGTGTGTGTACAAAGGACTGCAACAGAGAAAGAAAGAGAGAGAGAACAACAGCACATAAGGCAAAGTAAAGGCTTCTATTTTTATAAGCATGTACTAATCAAACTCCATCTGAGGAGAATTGACATCAAAGACGCTGCAGACTTTTCCTTGAGCTTTGAAAGGAATTGACTCCGATGCCTATTGATATTGTCATGCTTGACTTCACAGTGTGTGGTTACCAGAGAGACAAAGGCAGACAAAGACAATCAAACAGATTCTCCAAAGCAACTTCATATTCACATTATAAATCCCTCGGTGGCTTTCAATAGGACAAAGCCACTTTAATGTGCTGTAGAGGATCCCAGCCTTGATGTGAAATAAGGACAAATCAAGACACACGTACACACTGGTGACAGCATCTGGACCAGTTTCTTGGCCTGGAAGGGCTGGAAATGTAAATCAAAATGGACCTTTAAGAGTTATTTCCATCCAGAGTCCAAGGATCCTCAGTAATAATCCCAACTTAAGCCCTGACCCTAACCTTAAAACTCAACCCCAACCCTCGTGTCACCTGCTTTAAAAGTGACAAACGGCCTTCAAGTCTTCACACAAGTGGCCGAAGACAACAGCAAAACTGACACCCAGAAGAGAAGCTGGGATTCAAAGAGAAGCTCGCAGCCGCTGAGGAGACACTGAGAGAGACGCAGAATTAAACACCCAGATGGACATTTTGACACGGAGCTTTAAACTTACTGTCAACAGTGGAATCTAACGCTCAACAGTGGAATCTACAATGAACAAACACAGACCACACAGACTAAACACAGACACACAGCAGTCCCAAACACTCCCAGAATCACCAGCCACCAAAGACGAAGTACAGTATGCTACTGTCCTGTGTGACCTTAACAGCTTTACATTACCTGTCCTACACTTTTATTTAGCGTCATCTGCACACGCTGGTAATTGCAATCTTTGTGTTACGCCACCCACAGCCACTATCACTAACCGCACGGCCATGATTTGAATATTTTTACTGGGTGTTGCATTGTATTTACTATGGAGATGTTTTTTGTTGAAGTAAACATCATTGTTCACATTTTAGTAACACCCCTACCCCCTCTCAGAAAAACATTCCTCCGATGGAGGCTGTGTGAGGCTGCGGTGTATGATATAAATAGATCAGTTATACACATTTTTCCACCAGTTTTGCAGAAAAATAGTTTTACAACGGCCGTTTAAAGTGATGCCGGTGCACGTTCCCACCATTTTGTGTTCCCTTTACGACCGCAAAAGAAGAATACTCCTCCCTCTCTTGCCCCTCTCACTTTCATTGCCACATTTTCTGTGTCATTTTCTAGGTGATGTCATGCCTAAAGAGGGCCTGCTTAGTTAAATGAAGTTTATTGAGGAATCTGCCACAGCATTTTGGCAAACAAAGACATTAAAAAGAGTCCCTGCAAAAGCAATTTCACTCGCTTTTGTGGGCCACTTTCGCAGGCCGCTGTAATATCAGTATAACCATGTGCACTTGATAAAAGTCAGACCAACACAATATTTACCTCTGTAATTGAGCTAGTAAATAATTTTGTGATGAAAACATGTTTTGTTCCTCAAAATATCCACCATGGCATAGTTCTGCTACAAAAAGTAATGCTTGTGAGAACTTTCTTTTTTAATAACAATTTTTACTATTGTGGGTTTACAGTATTTTGCATTTATCTTGGTTGGAAAAACAGCACACTCAAATTTGTAGTCCAGTGCTTTCCAACTTTTTGTGTGGATATAAAGTACTTTTCCTGGATGTCAAAGTAAGTTTGAAATAATGGAGTCACTTTTAATACAGTATGCATGCATTGACTTTTCTCCCTCTCGCTGTCTCTTGCATGTGTTTCTTAGTCGTGAGCTTGGAGGGCCGAGCGGTGCATTTGGCCACCTTGGTGCAGGAGGCCGAGCAGCGGGTGTCGGAGCTCCAGGCCCAAGTTCGAAGCGAGGGTCCTGGAGAGCGGGAGGGATCCGACCGTGAGAGGCAGCTAAAGGCCTGGGAGTGGAGGCTCCGGCTCTTCCGACGCATGCAGACGGGCTTCGAGCACGCTAGTAAGGCTTCAGGATGACTTTGATTCTTCTTGGAGGGATTTTTTTTTTTTTTTTTGTACATGCTGAAGTTTGCCGCTCAGATCATACGAGCAGTCTTTGGTTTTCATTTTTGCACCCTTTTTCTCTGCTGGCATTCTGTCTGGGCAGAGTTAATGGCTTCCACACTGGAAAGCCTAGCGCAAGACTGTGTGTGTGTGTGTGTGTGTGTGTGTGTGTGTGTGTGTGTGTGTGTGTGCTAACATAACACGCCTGTATTCCTGCTTTAATTTTTTATAGGCATTTCATGACACGCTTAGTGGCAGGGTAGACAGCCACCCCCGAACGCAGACTCACTCACACGCACACACTCCTCCCTTACACTCAACCAATCTGCGCTTTAATGCAAGGGGGAAAAAAAATAGATTGTTCCCCTCTTTGTAATTTCACATTCTCATGTCAATTGATGGGCAAGTTGTCTGGACATGGATGGAAATTATAAACCACATGTCAAAATGATGTTTGTGTAGTTACATTCACAATCACTGACGTCCTCGCTTCTTCTCAGTTTTGAGCTGACATTAATTTGTGAAGATCACAGATTCCATTACTGACTGTAAATTGCCTCAAGCATCCATTGCTTGACACTTTTTAAACTTTTCCCCATTTCTGTAACTGAGCAATGCATTGTGCAACAGACCGGGAAGACGAAATGATGTCACTACAGTCAGATGCCAGTTGTATGTGCTCGCTCCATTTTATTGGACATAATATGCAGTGAAAGATCTGAGTCTGGTTGTGTTTACCTGTTTGTCTCTCTTCGTACTCACTTGCCCTCTTTCTCTCTGTCTGCCCATCCAGACCCTCCAGACGCCCCCAGTGTAGTCCGCCTGTCCGTCAGCAGCAGCACCAGTCTGAGGGTGGACTTCCAGGAACCTCTCTGTGTCAACTCTGCTGTAGTTACCAAGTACAAAGGTCAGCCACCGTGCCCGTCACACTGCTTCATTTAGAACCAACTAGTCAGTATTACAATATGTAAAGCTCGGGTGCTAATGAGATGCAGATGGAAAGGATTTAAAGGTATACTATGCAGAATTTTCCTAAGAAACAATGTAAAGACAAACTACAAGTGTGTAGCAGCATATTTTTCTGCAGACACTTTGCAATTTGCCTGTATTTTCTTCTTGTTTTCTATGTTCGGGATGTTTGTGGGTGTGTACCCGCACAGCGCTCAGGTGAGGTCAGAGCTTTAGAAGAAGGTAGCCACCAGGTGCCAGAGTGCAAGCAGCAGGCATCCAAGAGACACAGTGCCAAAAAACGCAAATATAGCGAGGCAAAATGCCAAGCAACAATGAATCTGGGGTTGGCTTTCACTTTCACTTTCACCAGCAAGCGTGTCTCCAGACAGTAACTGACAATGCTGCATAGTATACCTTTAAAAAATAGCATGTACGTAGGTTTTCAATACCAATTACTGCTTATTATTGAAGTTACAAAATGTGTTTATTTACAGTGAGCTGGAGCAGCTCTCCGTCATTAAGTCCTTTGCTGGGTGAGATGGTGGTGGAGGACACCACTCTACTACAGTGCAACATCACTGGACTCACTTGTGTAAGTTCTGCCACAATCTTTGAACCCATAGGCTATCAGTTCGAGGACAATGTACCTTCTGTGGACAACAGAGCAATATGTTAGGGGCTAGCGAATATTTGGATAACGGATAACCAGGCCAAGTCTTCCTCTTTCCTGTGCCAGTCATTGTTTAAAGTCAGATTAGCAATCTCTGAACCCATTAGTCTGAAGACAGTTTATAAACAGATGTTTGCATACCAATGCTGATGAATAAATAAAAAGCTAAATCATCATCAGACAGTTGCTAATGGGTTCTGAGATTGCATTTCGGCCAATGCGTTCCATCTCTTTTGCTCTCCACACAGTGTTTACCTGCACGCAACCAAAGCCTGCTCGGATATAATTGGTCAATACTATTATGTGGACTACAAATGAAATTCAGAACACTCCCAGTACCAAAAATCTTGTCCCGTTGCCCACAGATTTGACATAATCTCAGCCATGAACTGATGCTCTAAGCTGTTTTTCAGTATGATGATTCACTCAGTAGGAATAAGGGAGAATCTTATCCAGAATCTCTTATATGTGATGCTGTCAAAGGTAACATCAGATGATTTGGATAGAACATCTCTCCATGTGTATTTATCCCCTCCTGCACATCACACCATTTTCACACGAACCCAGTGAAGCGTTTCCTCTGCTCCCACCTCAGTCCCTAAGAACTACGTGATAAAAAAGGATACAGTCATGCATTATCTGATAGTTTAAGGGTGACACAAAGCAACACAAAGAACCACTAAGCCCCAGCTTCTCCAGCTGTTGGCGCTGACCGAATTTAGAAGCTATTCTCCCACACGAATGCCTCCTGATATTATTTACATGTGAGCTCGAGGAGTTTGCTTTGGTGACATCTGAAGGCTTTTCCCAAGTGACCCTCCTTTATTACGTACATCAAACTCCACACACAAGTTGTGGTCACCATCAATCCTAAATGATGGTGGGGGTGAAAGACTTATGGCCCTGCGAAAAAAAAAAAAAACACAATTGGAAAACACAGTTTATTTGTTATTTGTTGAGAGTCTTGGCTCCTGACCATTCATTAGCAACAGTTGCAAAACAGCCTCCGAGATGATGGAAAGAGCAGCTTGGTAGCCTGCCACCTGATTTATGTTTGGCATTTTTAAGCGGGCACGTAGACAAATGGACGCTCCACTGGTTGTTTGTTATTGTGTGAGAGAAAACCCCTTCCCCCGCTTTGAGACCCCCGCTGCCAGCCAGAGCTCACTCCTGTCACATGACAGGGGTCAAGGCGAGGTCAGGAAGTGTCGGCGGCTGGTTTGATTGATCTGGCTGAGAAAGGAGAGACAGAGGCCTGCTGTCTGCACACTGGGCACGGAGACAGACAGAGCTTCAAGATAGACCCTTCACCCTTCACACACACTGAAATAAAGACAGACAGCGACCTAGCAAGAGACAAACAGATGCACTGACTCACACACATACATATGTATATGGTGCCTTCTGACTGTCATATGTCCTGTCCTTACAGGGGACCTATTACTATGTCCAGGTGTCAGCCTACAACATGAAGGGCTGGGGGCCTCCACTAGTCTCCACCCCTGCCTGCGCTGTGCCTTCCAGTAAGTCTCCACTGTGTCTATGCATATGTGTATGTTCAAGTTTTACATAAAGCAAAACATGAAATTTCCCGTTAACTACAGCTCCGAACAAGAGCCCTGAAGGGTTTTGGCTGGGATCACTGAATTAACACCACTGAAAAATCCTTTTCACACAGGACTCAGCTGCGAGATGTGTGTATGTGAGTGTGTCCCACATGAATGATACTCTCTTTGCCACACATAAAAGGGGACTTAGACTTTGCATTATTACACATCAATTGATTCAGTTAATCCAACGTCATTCCGACATTGCTTTGACATCATTACAGCGGGGCGACAGCTGGACCCAGCGGGGCCAGCAGGCTGGGTGGGTTTTGGGACGCCCTCTGTGGACGTCAGAGTGTGTAACCATAGCCGCAGGATGGCGTTTGGGGCTGGCTGGCAGGAGAAGCTGTCCGGGTTCAGCCAAGAAGTTAACCGTGAAGTCATGTGCAACAACAGCTGAGGTGTTGAGTCACCAGAGCAGCTCTGACCCTTTTTCTTCCTCTCTGTCTTTATCTATCTATCTATCTATCTATCTAAGAACAGATTTAAGACTTTAAAATCTTTTCTGTGGTATATAGTTTTTAGTATATTATTACATTTGTTGCTCTGTAGATAGATTTATTTATTTAAGTGCAGTTATTAATTCAGTGTATTGATTTATGAGTTGATAGCTGTTTGTGTGCAGCATGTAAAGTACACACCTACTGTAGGAGAGTGAACATAGGTACTGTGAGTGTGGGTGTGTTGGCACACTTAGGGCACATCTGGGGAACACATGAACATGTTTGTCCTCATCAGCACACCGTGTTTTTCAGCAACTGTGTGTGTGTGTTCATTTGAGGAGACTGGGCTTTCCCTCTCTTTTTTTTTTTCTCTACTGTCCACCTCCCTCCCTCTCTCGGAGCTAATTTCGATGTTGCGTGTTTGTGTTTTCCATTTGGGCCTACCACTGGAAATATTTGCATGTCTGTGCTGTAGCACGCGGCGCGGCCCCAACAGTGGGGGCCTTATACCGGGCCGTGGACGCCCATTAAAGGGCCCGCTTGTCCTGTCGGGACAGGCACCTTTCCGGGAATAGAGCTCACCGTGTTTCAGCCCCACGCGCCCTCCGGGGGGCTCTAGGAGAGGGAGTTGGGGTGGGGGCGATGAGGGGGGGGTGGATGGTGGTTGATGGTGGTAGAGGGGGGGTGGGTTATCGCTGACACATCCTCCAGTGAGCAAGCAAGGATGCTGGCTTGGTAACACAGTAAGCAGAAGGTGCTGAAGGATCGTTTTCTACAGAGATGGTCGTGTGTGTGTGTGTGATTGGGAAAGAGGAAACACACAGGAAGAGGAATTGAAACAGTCAGAAACAGAGGGTGTAGTCTTGCTTTCTGTAGCGTAGCAGGATGCATGGTGTGTTACTTTCCTAACTCGCTGTCACTGGGACAGCTACACGCTGTTTGTGTGTCTGTGTACATGTGTGCACACTGACTGTTCTAATCCCAAATATGTGCAGGCCAGCCAGAAGCAGCGGTGCTCAGTAGGTCTGTCTGTCAGCCAACCACAGCTTTCTCACACTGGGGTGGGTGCTGTTTCCTATAGTACACACACACAAGACCTGTTTGAGAAGCAGGCCGTCTCACACACCTCACACTCCTACCGCTGGAAGCCTCAGGAACAGGGCCAGCCCAAGAATTTTTGGGGTCCCAAGCAGAATTTGATCAACCCCCCTACCAATCCCCAGACGTAACCTCACATAGAGTCCCACTGACGTATGTGTCGGCACCGTATGGTCATACAATAGTGAAAGTGTCAGTTTAAGCACAGTTTATTTTCATCCAACCAAAATTATTGCTCCATAGTCCACAGATCCAGGTTCACCTACTTCAAATAAATCAGTGTTATTAAAACCTTCCACTGTTAGCACAATATGTATGCCTCCCCAGTAGCAACGTGTCCATGATAAAAATCTTACAAGACCTACACAACAAAACGAAGGAAATAACAATGGATAATGTTTCTTTATTCATAGAAAACGAATAAACTGATTGGACTGATCTAAAATCAAATGAAATAAAAGATAAAGTCCACACACCAGAAGCTGCTCCTTGAACATTTATTCAGACTTAACGTTTCGGGCTCCTGCCCTTAATCAGACAGGGGGGCAGGAGCCCGAAACGTTACGTCTAAATAAATGTTCAAGGAGCAGCTTCTGGTGTGCGGACTTTATCTTTTATTTCATACTTACCTTTTGGTCCAGCACCCAGCATTAAGTTTTTGGGATGTGCGTGCTACCTTTACCTGTTAGTGGCTAAAATCAAATGAAAACATGGCTCCACAGTGGAAAATAAATAGAACAAAGACGGACACCTCTCTTTGTTCCAGTTTTGTTCAAACCACCATTTGAGAACGTTAAAAGTTTTGTGATGCATACTAATAAGACTATGCCTAAAACCTGATGTACCTAAATACCTACGTTGCTGAACCAAACATACAGCAGGCCGTCCAGTGTTAGCACTTTTGGCCGCACCGGGTCAAACTATGCCTTGTTGATTTGTCTCTCCGTTGACAGTTTAAACGCCCCAGGTTATGTCAAGTTTCACCTGAGATAGACCATCTCTAGACTCAGGCCAAAGCACGCCTAACTGCCTCCTGATTGTGGTGGCATCAGATGGGCTTCGTCATCATTCAGGGACAATTCAGCATCATCATTCAGGGATGATCTTCCTCTTCTTGATCCATTTTATTATCTTACCATCTTGTTAAAGCATTAAGTGGTAGATGCCAAGCAAAATTGTAACAACAGCCTGAAAATCCATGATGATAATTAGCCGGCTACCAACAACTATCGTACAGTGCAGAAGTAAACATTGTTCAAGAGGGTGCTGCTTTTAAAGGTCATGGACTTAAGACAAGTGCATCATTAGTTAAAGATGCACCTCAAGCAGGTAGCCCTGTTGTATGGAGATGCAGATCCCTGCCATGCAGGCTGATGCGCTGAGTCAAACAGAGTCAAGCCAAGCCAGTACACATGTATGGAAAACGACTATCTGTCCGCTCATCTCTGCAAACACATTAAAAACATGTTAAAGGTGTCTTTAAGCATATGTGGTAGATAATGGCGCCACATGAAAAGTTAAGGGATAAACAAAGTTATTACAATTCAACATAAGGGAACCATGAATGTGGAAATCTTTCCTGTTCGGTAAAGACATTTCACACACAAATTTTTCACATAACTGTCAACCTCATGGTGATGCAATAAGAAAAGTCAGGGGATCATGAAAACCACAAGTGTTTGTACACATTTTTATGACAGTTCATACCAATAGTTTTTGAAATATTTCAGTCTGGGTCAAAGTGGTGGTTCGGCAGACCGACACCAAAGAGCTGTGCCACTGGCATGGCTAAAAGTTAATCTTGCAGCTATGACATAATAGCAACACATTTAATGAACTTTTTAGACTTGGGGCATGTCATCATCTTTGCTTCTCCGTCATTAATAGTGAGTTTACACTACACAATATTAACCCTGATTTTCTACTTACCAAAAGTTTTTGTAGAGCACTGACAAAAGCCTCAGCTCAGAGGCAAATCAGCGCTCATTCCCGTGAGCGACAATCGCTATGTATGACTTTTCAAAGAAACAATCTGAGAGATGCAGGTTAAATATCTGGACCTGTCTCTGAGACCAAATCCTTTTGTGTGAACTGTGTTTATTTGCTGCAAATCAGTGCACAAACAACTTGAATTCCTAGGTTCTTACACAAATCTGTATTTGGAGGAAAGAACTCCTGTGTCATGAATGGTCCTGCAACTTTTCCCACATCACTTCTTGCATGTATTTCATTGACTAAATGTAGTTTGGAGATCAGACAGACTTGTCAGGGATTCCTCCCTGTGAAATGTCTTGCAATGTGTGGCCCCCTGTCACCAATCACCTGTTTAAAGTGCCGCATTATATGACACCATTGTAAAATGTGATCAGTACATCAATGTGATTACTTTGAAAAGTGTAGTGTGTAGGTACCATGATGCACAATATAACTTAAGAGACCTGTCTAGAGATCCTAACTTAGCACCATGACTCTGAATAAAGACACAGCACTGTATGGCCACTTTTCTAATATCATCTCTCTCACCTCTGTCTGCAGGCTGGAGGGATATCGATGGCTGCGCTCCACGTCAGAGAGGCCAGAAGGAGGCACTAGACCAGCTACTTGGGCAGATAAAAGAAGCTCACCGCCACTGTGTCTGCCATGGTATCAACAACTTTTTGATCGATTTGGTGGGCGTGTTTACCTAAAAGACCAAACAGTAATACGAGAGCTTTAAAGGTTTGCATAGCTGACCCCTGCTGAAACCCAATGCCCAAACCTGGTAGTGATAGCGACTTGATGTTCTCTGCATATGAGCACACGCTATATCTCACTAGATGCTTTAAGCTGCCTTTGGGTTTAACTGTGAAATTACATGCAGCAAATTCCTAGGTAGAATAACAAATTGACAGATCAGCTTTTAGTTGTGGTATCAGTTGAAGTAAAGTCACAGAAGTTGAGGTGAAATGCACCCTGAGCTGTGGTATGAGCTTCTGACATTAACCTGAGCTTCTGTCGTTTTCACTACGCCCGTCACGTTTTAAACAAACACATCTGAATTTTCAGCCACCGTCGAGTTCATGTTTGAGAAATATTCTGGGTGTAAACAAACATGAGCAATGGACGGTTCAACTCGCAGGTGTAACACGTCTCGCCAATTGCTGTGTTTCATCTCACCTTGACAGACACTTTACAATCTCAAGCACGACAAGTACTTCGGGGGCCGTACACCCTAAGACGGTATGCCACCTCAAAAATAATACCCTCCCCTCTGTCTCAACAACCCCCCCACCCCCTTATACATCTTTCCATGACTCTGCCCTTCCTCTGCTGAATACCTCTCTCTCTCTCTCTCTCTCTCTCTCTCTCTCTCTCTCTCTCTCTCTGTGACAAAATGCAGATCAACCTCTCTCACACTCAGGCTGTTTATATCCCCAAACACTGCAGGCTGTAAGCTGGTCCCATAAGTGTCAAAACCTGTCCACACTGACTCCTTTACATGACGGCAAACTGCATTTAGCATTGAGCAAGTTGTCTCTCTTTTTCTCGCACACCCACACGCCCGAACACACTCGCCCACTTACTATTGTCCACTGTGGCCCAGACTGTATTTGCAATAAGGCGAGACGCAATATAATAGTCAGTATTGAGTGGCTCTTGGGTCGTCAGACGGCGACTGATTGAGCTTGAGAGTTCAGGCACGGTAGCCAAGGTGGCGTGTCCCGGGGTCATGTTTGTTATTCCTGTAAGAGACGAGTCCCGGGCTGAAGTCGGGAGAGGGCATAAATTAACACTGACTACTGCTACCTCCCCCTTCACCCCCCACAGCCTGCCAGTCGTCCTGTCTACTGTCCATACATATACACACGTAAAGATAGACAGGCACACACATAGATACACATGTACATGAAACAGACACAAATATTCAAGTACATGCTCCCCGTTTAAGCTCTGACGCTCTCGCACACGTCCATGTGCGAACCCCCCATCGCAGCCCGGCTTATAGCCCACGCCACATTCTCCCTCTTGTCCAAACACTATTAATTAAACTGTGAAAGAGGCCTTGACTAACACAAGCACCCCAGCAGTCAGCCCTACTTGTCTGTCTTACTCAGTGTCAAACAGGGACTGAGGCCAGGAGGACTAGAGCCGAACAGACTCACGAGTAAAGAGAAATTTGGGGAGGTGAGAGGGGTCGAGGGGTGCTGTTTTTTCTTGTTGCTCCACCTCGACTCGTCCACCTGAAGAGAAAATTAGTTCTTTTCGGGTCCTGAATGGGGGGATTTATTGACTTTAAGTGGCCTGGGGCTGGAGTCAGATCACCTGGGGAGGGGAAGAGAGGGAATCTGTGAAGGGTTTGGGACTCAGGGTTTCTAATGAGTTGGGAGGTGCGTTATCTCACCAACAGGCGCCCACACAAACGCACACACATGCATATATACACACACCTCCCTCTCTCGCCTCCAACCCCCTCCAGGCCCACTAAAAATAAACATGTCCCCACAGACTTAACTGACCTCCCTGTCAGTGAGTGGCAAAGGGTTAAGACACATACAGACGCACACACACAAATTACTCCTTGGCTCCACTCGTATGGCTGTAGCTCAAGACATGCCATGCTCCAGCAGCTTTAGTATGTGCAGGTAAACACACACACACATACATATACACACAGTTAGTGTCCCTCTGGGAGCGGAGAGCTAGTGGTTCCCTCAAGGCCCATAGTCTGCTGTTGGCAGCCAGCATGACTGTCAAATGGTGCCGCGCCACTGGAGCGCATGAAATGTCGAAAAACATTCCACTCTGACCGTGTTGTTGGACGTGTCAGGTTTGTTGTCAATTAGGTAACGGCCTGTCACTGGAAGAGATGTTTCTAGAGTTTGTCAGGACAGAGGTATTCATTGGTGTTAGCAAGAAAATCAGACAGCCAATCAGAGTCAGGCCACAGCTTCTGACAAGTGCCCTGACTTTAGAGCATCGGAATATTTATTCAAATTATTTTGTTACTATTGAATTAACGGATGTCTTTTTCTTGTCTCTGTCTTGTCCACACAGAACAGTGCAAAGCTCCGTCACAAGGGAGGAAGCACTCAGTATCCAAAAGCCTCCGCCACCTCTTCCAACCCACCAGCAAATTTGTTAAAAGCTTGAAAAGGTAAATGCTCATTTCGACCAACCTGAAGACTAAAAAACAGCACATGCATCCAAAAATGATAAATACTGGGTGCTGGACAGAAGAACAAATACAAAAATAGTTTGTGTTCATTGTTTCATGTTGTTTAGCTCATATTTAATCTGTTTCCTGTTTAATTCTGTAGCTTCTCTCCTCATGTGTCATGTGTGGTTTTACTTCCTGTCTTTGTGCGTTTTCCGGCCTGTTTTCTGCCACACCTGTCTCGTTAGTCCTTCCCTGTTCCCTGAGTCCTCCCTTCACACCTGTTCTGTATCAGTCTTGTCAGCTACAATCCCTGTTTCACTCCTTTTGCCCATGTCTTCCTTCTCCAGCTGTGTCTCGTCCTTGTGATTCTTCTGTGTGTATATACCTGTGTATTTTCCTTTGTCCTTGGTCAGTCTCTCCGCTCATGTCTGCTTACTTGTGCTTGCTCCTGCATCCATCCCCAGTCTTCATTTCTGTTCCTAGCTGTTTTATTTTAGTTTTGATTTTGTCTCTGCTCCTAGATGGTTTTTTGAGTTGCCTGTCTTTTTTGAAAATTATGAATCAGCTACATTAAAGCTTGCTTTCTGTTGAACACTGCAAACCTGCCTATTGATCTGCTTTTGGGTCCACCTCCCCTGAACTGAATCGTAACAGTATACTCCTGTCTGTGTAGTGATTTTCTTGGCAGCAACTAGCTGTTGGGTCCAAAGGCCGTTGCACACTAAGTCCGTATTTGTTATGTTAAAAACTAGCCTGATCCCCCTATGTTGTATCAATCACCATTGCACACTGACTGACAGAGCCTTTAGAGCAGTGGTTCCCAAATGGTTCAGCCAAGGGGTCCAGATTTCTCCTTAGCCATTTGTCCAAGGTCCAAACAGTTCAATACATTCAGCATCATACTTGCATTTGGCCATGTCATAGAGCTAGATTGCTGTCTTTATCATGTAGCTGACCAGCAGGGAGCGGCACTTCAAAATAAAAGCTCTGTGCCGGAAATTCACTGTACTTCAAAATAAAGTGTGTTTTTTACAAACTTGACATGTTTGTGAGTCACTTGCGGTCCATTTAGAACGGACCTGGGACCCACTTTTGGATCAGGACCCACCAGTTGGTAACCACTGCTTTAGAGAGATGATTGACCAAGAAGCAGTGAAGAGAATGTGGTGTAACCTGCGGGACAGATATATACGCAACAAAAGAGGAACAGGGTGCACAGAATCATTTCATATCAAAGATAGCTTAATTTCAAAAGGTCAGATAGTAATATTAAGGTGGATGATGATGACGAGGAGAAAGATGAGGACCGCACACAGACAGAGAGGGTGACAATGTGCAGACAGAAAGTTCAGCCCCTTCAACTGCATTTCCAAACTCTAGATGTGGGCAGAGGGTGGTGACAGCCTAGGGAGGTAACTCCAGTGAAGAGAAGCAAGGGAGCAAAAGTGTCACTGTCTCGTATTGCGAGTTTCTGCAGCAAAAAGAACAATAAAATGCATCATTTCCAATGATAATTTCAAAAAAGGAATACAAAAAACTGACTTAAATATCACATCTCTAATGAAATGTAATCATTTTGATACTTTCTTACTTTGAGAACACACACACAACAAGGTGCAGACCAGTGTAAGCGTCAATGCAATCCCATCAAATTAAAACACCTTCAAACACCGAGGCAAGATAGCACAAAACGTCTGTTGTTGTGAGGAAGAGTTGTGTGAATCTGTATCATTTTGATAGTCACCCACTCAGTGCTGTAGTCTTTCTACAATAACGTATACTTTTTCCATGTTACTTTCCAGAGGTCTGTACCTGACAACCATACTCTACAGAGATGATAATGTGTTGGTGACTCCAGAGGACCAGATTCCTATTGTGGAGGTTGAAGACTCTTACTCCAGCTCCCTCATGCAGGACTTCCTCTGGTTTACCAAGGTACAGAGACAGACAGACAGACAGACAGACAGAGAGTAAAACAGAAAGCTAGAAAGAAGCATACAGCAACAAACTTTGATATATTTGTCAGACAGTAGATGCAAACCCATTCATACAATCATCATATAACTGATAAAAAACTACAGGAATTTATAAGATAATGCTAAACATTTGCATGTGTATATTCAATCCATGCTTCAGGTATCCTATCTATGGGAAGAGATTCCCTGGCTGCAGCAGTGTCTCAGCCCTTCCCAGTCGTCCTGTTCCTGCACACTGCAGACACGCCTCAAGATGCTGCAGGCTGTCTCCCTTCTACAGGTAGTACACATTGCCCTCAGTGTCACAAACTTTCAGGGCTATGGTGTAGGAAGTTGTGGCGGTGCACTAAACAAATCTGATGTCCTTCCTCAGGGTATGCTGGGAACCCAGGACCTTGGTCAGGTATATTATGAGCCAATCAAAGACAAGCATGGTAACGCGCTGCTGGTGCTCCTGAAGGACATGAACGCTTGTCCCAACCTGGACGGGGTTCACTGGACGCAGCTTTGCAAACTCCAACTCCAACGCAAGTCTATCTCTTCCCCCGAAGAGCCCACCGCCTTGGACATGCTTCTCATCACACTGCACGTGAGTCCCACAGGAATAGGCGGGCAGGGATTGGTTGTGAGTTCAGTTTTGGAAAATGGGTTATTTTTGCTTTTGTTTTGGAGACAGGCTGCTTCCACGGCAGTTAGGAATGGTACGAGGGTTTGTCAACAGTGGTTGTGGTTTTTATCAGGCTCATTCTTCGAATTTTTTGTTAACTGGAGATTTAACGAAACGAAACGGCGTAGTGTAAGGCGTTTTGTCAACAACAAAATGCCTCCAAAAAACTGGAAAACGTTTATCTATTGGTATCGCTCTAATGTCTTTCAACTCTCATTCACAGAAAACCAGCAAACACGAGGCTCCGTGGCTGAAACAATAGGACTGTAAATTGAAATGTGCTTCCAATTATGAGAGCTGCATGTGCAGACACTCTTTATTTAGACAAACATTAATCATCATGACTCTCTTCTTCCATTTGTCACCTCCTTTGTAAAGACATATTGAATCTGCTTGCCAACAGATTAATTAAAAACCAAATTTCAGGTCAAATCTTGGATCCATGCCAACCCAACATGAATGTTAATCATCTCAGTCACTCTGTTTTTAAAGGCTGCTCATTCAGGCAGTGAATATTGGAAGGCTACATTTGAATTTCAGCATTGTGGACGTGATGATGATAATCTCACTAACTGTTGTTGTTTTGTGTTTTGTAACTAATGCTGTGTGGCTGTTTTGTTCACAGCGACCACAATCTGGAACTGAACCACAAGTTGATTTTGTCTATATAGCCCGGTAAACTTGATACTATTGTTGCAATGCTGTTTTGTCTCAAGTGTAAGTCGGTTTGGCCTTGTGGTTCCAAAACAATGGTGGAGACTCCCTTCGGCAAAACCACATTTCACTGAAATATTTGTTTTGTGGCCAGTTATGAACAAATTGTATGATGAAATACATAAAAATGTGCTGATGGGCTTTTTTGCCGTGCTGACTTCCACTCTAAACATGTTGGAAGGACTTGAGACTGAAGTCTCTGAGGGACTAACAGCAGCAAAACATGAAAACAACATCATTTAGATGAATGTGAGGTCGCTTAAAGAGACAAAATTAGAATCAGTGTCACCACGCAATCAACCCCAGTCGACACTGTCATGCACACCTCTTACTTATCTCTCTCCACCTGCTGTTCCCCAGGAGAAGCTGGCATATCACAGGCGGAGCAGGAAGATGTTATCTCCAGGTTTATACCTGGGCTACCTGAAGCTGTGTACATCAGTGGAGCAGATCAGAGCGCTGGTGCCCCAGAAACTCCCCAATGTCCTCTGTCACACCAAAATTCGGGACAATAGCAACGTGTCCAGGTGGGGATCATGTACAACTTAAAGGGAAACTTTTCATGTGATTTGTAATATTTGCAGAATTGTCTGTGATCTTAATTCCATTGGAATCTGCCACATCAGTAATTTCATTCATTCATTCATTCATTTTCTGTTGGGGGTCACTGGGGGGCTGGAGCCTGTCCCAGCTGACATTGGGCAAGAGGCAGGGTACACCCTGGACAGGTCTCCAGACTATCACAGGGCTGACACATAGAGACAAACAACCATTCACACTCACATTCACACCTACGGACAATTTAGAGTCACCAATTAATCTGCATGTCTTTGCACTGTGGGAGGAAGCTGGAGTACACGGGGAGAACATGCAAACTCCGCACAGAGGGGCTCCCCCACCCCAGAATTTGAATCCCCCAACCCCAGGTTCAAACCAGGAATCCTCTTGCTGTGAGGAGACAATTCTAACCACTGCATCACCGTGCCGCAGTCTGTAATTTGTCAAGTAAAGATTCCACAGCAAATGACCTACCACATTTTGCCAAATACAGAGGTCGTGTGCTAATATTATTATGGTTTTTGGTTTCCTCTGCGCCTCTTTTCTGCTTCTTCCCTTAGCGAGAATTACAAAGGCTGGGTTGGCCATTATAAATGAAAGTTTTGAGAGCATATTTGGTTCAAGGGGCATATCTCGCTACACAGTTTAGAGACCCGTTTGCAAAAAGAGTGATGTCAAATCCATCAGAAGGACGATATCTTGAATGAGATGGATAGTGTAACAATGTGTGGCAGAATCGGTTCTGTTTGTGTAACCCACATTTAAAAAGAAAAAACGGAGATCAACACTGTACATCATCGCTATTAGTGCAGTTTAGTGTTTCTGTGTTGTGTAGAGTGAAGTTGCGAATGACTGTGCACATGATATCTGGGGGATGTCAGTAATGTCAGTATGAGTAAAATATGGACTCGCTTATCCCATACAAATGCGCCACAGGAAACACAGACATGGGGGTGTAATTTCTAAGTCACATGAGGTCTCCAGGTAATACTAGTCCTGTGCGAATAGGGCTTAAACAACTAATGGGAAGAACAAGTTTTGAAACTGGTCCAGTATTGAGCGAGACGGCTACTGCCAGCAGCAAAATGGGTTGCAATGTAATCTTTGGGGTAATACCCCACCATCAATGTACGCCCACAAAAAGTGCTTGTTTTTGGCACTGACAGGCTCAGATTGTTATTATAAATATTTTTCTTTACCTTTGACCTGATCCGGTCAGTTTGTTATTGTATCAACCAAGTCTCGCTCAAGGAGAAGTCTTGTTCTAAAGTCACAGCAATTGAGTTGCGGCAGGAATACAGTAACAAACAGACCACATTAAGTGAAAGGTAAAGAAAGACATTACTTTTCTTTGTCAGACGCTTATAAATAATAACAATCTGAGCCTGTCAGTGACAGAAACAAGCACTTTTAGTGGACGTACATTGACTACGTACGCACCATTGCCCCAAAGATTGCATTTTAATCTGTTTCACGGGTGGCGGCGGCAGCTGCTCTCTCACTCAATACTGGACCAAGTTCAAAAACTGTTGTTCCCATTAGTCACTTAGACACAAAAACATGGCAAAATGGGGTCCAGGTTGAAAAGTGTATGTTGGTTCTTGATGAGTTTCTACCAGACGTCTGAATATACAGTAGAAGTCTCAGTGTACGAAACATTGACAATGATGCCTTCGACTTGGACCGATGCTCCCTTTATAGCATCCCTGTGAGTTTGTGTTGTGTTTGTGTGTCGGTTTCAGAGAGGAGTGGCAGTGGCTGCAGGCTCTCACCTCTCTGGAGGAGTCGTTGGAAATGGACCGCGAAGAACAGAGCGCTCCGCATCGCCTCTTACAGGACCTACGCAGCGCCATCAAGGACCTGATGGCACACATTAATGTCCCTGGCAATCAGGTCAGAGTCAGTCTGAAACAGTGTATTTTTGTCCATCCTTCAGTGAAATTTACAACCATTTCTTTACCAAAAGCAAAAGCATTTTATGTCGACTGATTTTGACTGATATCATGGAACCAGTTGAAACTCCTCGAAAGATTTCCAGCCAAGTTCCAGAGGCAAGCAGTAGCAAGAGCTCAAAGCAAAATGATCCCAATGGGTATTGAGCCAGTTCTGGTTAGACCACTAATTCTACATGATTTCTGTAAAAGAACATGGTTTGAATTCCAGCACAATGGCAATCATTGTCCGTTTGACTTTAACCTTTTACCACCCACTGTTCCAACTGGCTCAACGACTGCACCATGAAAAGTCGAATATGAACATGACCATTAATATATATATCGATAGATTAGACTGTCATCAGAATGTCAAACTGAAACTTTGTTTGTTTCCAGAGGGGACGGATGTTAAAAAAAGTTTAAAAACAACAATTATGACTTTAACAGTAAGATAGTTTTTCTCTTGACCCGCTCCCCAAAAGAGACCAACACTGTATTAGTGATATGCAATAACCCCTAATTACAGCAAACCAAGCAGTTGCAGTATTTCTTACTTCTCATTCCACTGTTGGAGTTGGAGCCTCTTGTTCAACTTTCAAAATACTTAAATGAGTGAAAAATTGACTTCATGGTGGCCTCGCAGTCTTGTTCTGTGATCCATACCCCCATAACTGTGACTTCCGTGGTTTGAGTGCATCCAGGAACTCAGTCTTTACTTCTATTTATCAAATAAGAGCTGAAATAACCGTAAGAATAAGTGCATCTATTAAAGACAAGAAGGAGAGTTCAAGTAAATGGTCTTGATTGTTGTAATTTTGGAACAAAAGAGCATTGCATACATATTAATGGGATACTTCACCCACAAAATGACCATTTGTAAATAAATTTGTCTTGTCGTGTTGATTGATTGGGGAGCGCATGGCAGGACTAATTGATTTACAAGTAGTCATTTTGTGGGTGAAGTATTCTAAGTGGACATGATGTCAGTATTCTGTCACTGCTTTAAGTTAGTTAGACTTCCTTATATACTGTAGGTTCCTTTGGTTTCAAAAGCCCACTGACATCACCTGTCTTTGTGTGTCTATAGGTGCAGGATTTCCGTATCTACAGCCAGGAGGTGGTGGAATTTGGGGAGAAAGTGTCCTTCCTGCTCCTCCTGCCACCCTCAGATGAAGTGTGCACAGCTCCTGGTCAGAATAACCCATACTCCCCCCGCTCTGGCTTCCTCACCCTGCCCCTGCAGATCTTTGAGCTAGGTCAGTATATAAAGATTTTGGCAGAAATGGGAAATTTGACACCAACTGCCGTGTCCAAATTTACAGTATATGTTCTTGTATTTAATGGCACAGTGTTTTACATTTCCTTTTTTTTTTCTTGTTGGATTCCCTTTTCCCCACAGTCCACTTTAATGCTTATTGCCCCAGTTTCATTGGCCAGTACTGCAGAGTATCGGCTTTGCTGGAGCTGGAGTCCCTCATGTCCCAGCAGGCGCTGAGGGAGGCCTTCTCTGAGGCCGAGCTCCTTGCTGCTAAGAAGAAACACCAGCAAGTCCAGGAACACATGCAGGTAACACAGCTGGAACATACATTAAATGTTTGGATTGTATATACTGTTGAACTAGTATTTGCATGGTAGATGGATTCAGATGGATCCAGTAATACAATATATCTTGTTGACTGTACGACAGCAAATGGAGGAGGTTTGGCGTGATGCGAGGTGGATCATGGACGCCTTACAGTATGCCCGCTACAAGCAGCCAACAGGAGGCATATCTATAAGCTGGATAATTGACTTCTCCAAGGAAACGTTGCCGGACAAGCCTCCCTCCACCTCCTCTCAGCCAGATTTCATGCCCTCCCCCATACCTTCACCAGAACCCTGCCGCAAGCACTCAGGTCAGAATCAACTCTTAGAACAGAAACATGTCGGATACTGTGGCTATATACGGGATTTCATATGCCACAAAAATTACATAAAGGGATAGTTTGGATTTCCTGAAGTGGGAGGGACCTATCCATAGTCAGTGTATTACCTACAGAAGATGGCGATCAGCACACTCCCAGTTTGGAGCTCCTACATGATATTGATTTTTTTAAATTGAATTTTGTAGCTGACCCCTCCATAGCAGTACGTTGCTTAGCTTCTGTGTCTGTACTCCTGTCTGCTTCTCCAAACTGAGGGCATGCCGATTGACATCTACTGTATGTACTACACTGACTCTGGATAAATGCCTCATTCAACCCTACTTCAAAAGATCCAAACTATTCCTTTAACATGCAGGAGTTTGATAGTGTTTTGCTATAATTACACACCATCAGTAAGTATTTTTTCTCACGTTCTTCAGATTTTGCTGGACTGTCAGATGAGGAAGGCTCCTCTGAGGTCTTCCTCACCACTGACAGCGACTATGACTCCAGTCGTGCCCAGAGTCCTCGCGAGCTGGACCTCTTGCCCCCCTCACCCCTCTCATCTAATGCGCCACTGGAGCCTCGTGGTTTCCTGCGTAGTGACGGAAGCAGCTCTGGAGGGATGTGTCTCAATAGCGGTGGACGCGGAGGTGGGGCGCTAAGGGATTCCACGCCAGATGTCCTCCAAGCCTCGGAACCGCAGCACGGGAGGGAAAGCGAGCGGTGCGGTGGAGGAGGTCGGTGTGGAGGGGATAGACGAAGGGGGGTCCCGGAGCTGTTTGACAGTGACTTCATCCTGCCCAGCAGGCAGATCGAGCTGTTGCACATTACAGAGAAAAGACAGGCCTTCTGTGTGAGAACCAGCAGCCTTGAGTTCCCCTCCGCCACCTCAGCCCACCAGCCTTACTCCTACCACACAACTTGCCTCTCGCCCTCCACCTCACCACAGCGGAGATGGCACAGACCCTCGTCGGTGGACCGCTGTTGCTCGGCTGAGCGCTGCCTACCGCATCTTCCACCAGCACGTACCTTATCAGAGGACAGCGGCACACAGAGACTATCCTCACCATCCCCTGCTGCCCTCAGGAAAGGCTGTCACGCCACACTCAGAGTGTACCCGCAGTATCGCACAGGCCTGCCAAAGGAGACCAGTGTTAAGGTATGTCTTGACATGTTGAAGCATTTCACCTTTAAACTGTTGTGTTTGTGACACCTTTCCTCCTGTGTTTCAGCTTTGTGTAACACCAGGAACGTCAGCACAGGAGATGGTCCAGCTAGTTGTGCAAGAGATGAACGTTGTGTCGCGGCGCATGCTCAATGGCAGCGGAGGTGAACAGGAGCAGTGTGTGTACTACAGTCCTGAGCAGCTGAAGCACTTTGGCCTTGTGCTGGTGGTGGACAATAGAGAAAAGTGGCTTCAGGATGATTTCTGTCCCCTGGAGCTCCAAAACCCTTGGCTGAGGGGCAAACTGTGCGTTCGCATTAAGGAGTATTCACCACTAGCGCTCAAACACAGCCGGGCCACCACAGTGTGACGCTTCCAGGAGAGAGAACGAAATCAAGAAAACAATTCAGAGCTCATGCCATGTGCAGTGGAGTATCCTTGGAAAAATGTGTATGGAAATGAAGGAACTGTTACATTTGTACAAACAGGCTCCTAAACTCTACACTGTTTTCTCTCTCACTGTGGTGTTAGCGTCCACAACTGCAGCTACGACATGTCATATTTTCTGCTGTGTTCTTGTTATCTGAAAAGCTTCTGTTTCCATGAAATGTGTTCTCCCATACGTAGGACCTTTCTTTTTTATGAACATCAGAGACCCTCATGTGGACACCAAATGAACAATAACAAAATGGAACAAAGAGAACACAGTTTTGTGCTGTCAGAAATCATTTGTGAAAAAGATTGTGATGCAGAGCAAGATTAATGGAGCGTCAATTTGACTTCTGGCATGATTGACGCCGGCACATCGGGCCGCGCACATTGCCAAAACGACATGGCCGGCATCATCCTCCCCAGCCACACGCGGACACGGCTTTTCCTATGAACTCTCTCATTGTGTCATTCCCAAAGAGCTGTCGGCTGCAGCCGCCCGGCCCCATGTTCCCAGGATGTGGGCTCTGGAGCCGGCCCAGAGGGCAGGAAGGAAGAGAGGAGTACAGAGGGGGGCTGGCGTCTCCGCTTGGGGACGCAATCGGCCCGACGATTTGGCCCGTCAGCCTGTCACTCAACTGCTCTTGGCCACTGTGCTGTCTGGTAGCAAAGCAGCCAAGCAAGGGAGAGAGAGCTTGATAGTGAGTGAGAGCGAGAGAGGGCGAGGAGGAGGAGGAGGAGGGTGGAGGCTGCATCTTTCACAACCTGGCACTGGCTCTCTGGTGCTCTTTTCCTCCCTTTTGCAGCAACACATTCTCTGTATAGTAGTCTCAGTCGTAGTGTAGCTAACAAATACTCATCTTGTGAGGAAACAAAATGAAACCAGCCAATTTGGATTTTCACATCAGAGAAAACACAAGCAATACTTGACTCTTTGTTTCTCTGATAGTTGGGGAAAAGCATGTAAACCTTCCAGAATTGTGCCGAGTACATCTCAAGTACTGTAGTTCATGCTGTGCTAAAAGTTAACCAGTTCAGTGTTTTGTTGTGTTTGGTTCAGTGGTATTCCCAGATGGATCAGAAAATGGTGCCCGCCAGTCTAGAGCAGGGTCTCCCAAAGGGATTCCAGTGTGAGAAGGATGACTTGAGTTGTTAAGAGGCCCATTGTTTGCCAGCAAAGTAACATATTGTATAAACCAGACTGTCTTCTGAACTGCTAAAATTAAGTTATATATGAAAGAACTTAACTATAAGATGGATAAAATATATATTTTAGCCCCAAACAAACCACTTTGACCTGCAATGTGTGTGACAGATGGAGAATAGTAAAGGCAAAATGTCAAATATAAAATCTACACACTTGTAGCAAACCACCTCCTTCAAAAATATGACATTATGGCTGCAGTCAAATCATCTTTATTGCTTTGGAAGTGACCCAGAAGTATCTAAGGGTGCTTTCACATCTGCCCTGTTTGGTTCCGTTCAGTCAAATTCAAGTTTGTTTATCCCCTAAGTGCGGTTCATTTGGGCACACCAAAACAACTGGACCGAGACCTTCTTGAAGAGGTGGAGGAGGTTACAAACGAACTCTCGTGTGGTTCTTTTGTGGTGAGAACGTGTTCCAACCTTGATCCAAACCACCTGCAGTCGCATTACACATTATTTGGGTTAAACAAGCATGAGCATGTTACAGTCCTGGAGGATTATTAATGTGCGCCTCCTCCTGTACTGCCTTAATATGCACATTCAGCAGCAATATAGTCCACGATGACAAGCACTAAAATCAGCCTGCGTAGTTGTCCCTCCATTGTGACATTAGAAAGTGTCACATTTATCTTGCAAGTGTACTCTTCTTCAACATTTTGTTTACTTCCTGGATTTTTCCCACATGGAAATTCTGACCAATTAAGAGCAGCTTTCTCGCACAAGGCATTTCATCTAGTCTGCTTGCAAATGCTGCCATGAGAACACGAACCAACTCTCGGCAATTATGCAACTTTGCAACAAAATTAGTCCCTGATTCAGACCAAAGCAAGACAACTCTAGGTCTGAAAGCAGCCCAAGTCAATATGGTTCGGCTCAAAACTGGTGGAAACTGGTTCGCTAGATAGCACCAAGGTCCCATGAATCCTGAACAGAACCAGAGCTAATTTGGTGAAAAGGGGCTTCATTGTGGTCTATTAGATAACACTGTGGTTAGTCCACAGTAAACATGCTAGCACATTAGGGGCCTGTCCCAATACCCACACTTCCCCTAGAAATACCCACTTGCACTTGGTAATGCGCAGTCACGTTTAGGCTAGTGGTGTCCCAAAACAGAATTGAGGTAGTGGAAGTGGTTTCCAACACTTAAAACCCGCCATAGATTCCAAGAGAGTGGAAGATGAAATTTCCCAGAACACCTTGCGAAGTCAGCAACTTCAGCAAGTTTTGGAAAACAATTTGTTACTGTACAATCGGAATGTAGGCTATACAAACAACAGATGGTTGGACTAGCGTAAACTCATCAGCAACTCAGTTGAACACAGCATCAAAATATTTAAACAAATCAACTTACCCGAACAAAATCGATCAGAACTAGAAGACATCGTAGGCACCTCCTGTTGTCAGCATTTCTTCTCCGTTGATTCATCAGATGGAGAAGAATAAACATAGCACACGCCACAACACAAGCGCTGGAGCCGGCATTTTCAAACCTGAATGACTACCGGTATCTTGCGTTGCTACTACGCATGATGACGCATGAAGTGGTGTCCCATTTCTTAGGGAAAGATCTCTACCCTAATATTTCTCACTTCCCTCATCAAGGGTTATCTCGCAAATGAGGGCACTCATTACCAAGTGGAAGATTTAAGGGGTAGACATAGGAATGGGCCTAGGTCAAGAGCAGTAGTGCTACAGTAGTTTGTCTACCCTGATGGGTTGTGGGACCCTTGCCTTGCAAGTCGTAGCGTTCAGTAGAGAGTCTCTAATCTGTGGATTACCTCAATCACCATCACACTGATGCAGGTACTTTTGGGATGAACCACATTAATTCTAACTACACAACAAATAAGGCCTCTTAACAATCTAAACCATCCTTATGAGGTAATTTTTGGGAACCTATGCCAAAATTCAATTTCTCTGTTCACACAGTACAGTCTGTGAAACTCCACATATTGCTCCATGTCAAACTGCAGGCTGTTGTGTTTTGTTTTTTTTTTCCCTATCAATTGTTTTTCAGCATATGATAACTACTTTTTCTGGCTGTAAAGCATCAGCACAAGCTCAGCAATGTCATACTGTTAAAATTACCTGCAGCATCTCCAAATGTAGCACCAGAAAGGTCCAAAAGAGTCAGGGGAGTCTGATGGGTAGCACTGTAGCATTCCAGGTTCACAGGATGTTGTGGAACCTGTCGCAGGGGGGGAGTTAACGGTGGCGTCTCTCAAAGTGTTTACAGAGTTTAGTTTCCTTACACTTTCAAAGATGTGTTTACGTGTAACTACTGTATAAAGATGTCTTAAGATGTTATAAGTTGTAATTGGTTTCACTAATGGCTTGAACTGTTGTGTTAGCGCTTAGATGTCTTCTTTATACACGTTGTTAAAAGCTGTTTTTACGAGGGCCAACTGCAAAAACAAAAAAAATACAACAAAGAAACCGAACCATGTACATAGATGAACAAAGACCAGGGATTGAATGTACTGTATCTGCCCAAAATGTGAAAGTAGGTGAATGTGGGGCTGTCATCACTACTGAGGTCAAAGGTCAGTGAAGTTATAGGCAGGAGTCTGTCTTAAGATTATGCTAAAGGGGGAAGAGGGTGGTTTTGAATTCCCTTTCCAGTCGAAAAATATAGTAAAGCCCCATGTTTACAAGGAGCTGTTGGCAGATCCATCAGGGGAAGTCATGAAGGAGACATCACGTCACTTTTTTAAAATCTATTTTTATTGAACAATAAATGAATATTACAAAATAAAAGCCTCGGTTGTTTATGAGGGTTTCTTCTCTTTTAAGGGATCGCAACACACAAGTGGAGGAAGTCTCTAACCATCATGTGAGTCCCACTGAGAAAAAACGTCATACTGACCTTTTTACACTTCCTGTTTGAGAGATAGAGTAATTTACACATCAACTGCCCAACACTGTCTTCATTCGAGAGCTGAAATTCCACTATGATGCCATGATATGTTTTGGCTCACCTCATCAGCCATAAGAGGCATAACAAGCTTATATTTCACGTGTGTGCAGATCAGATTTTCTGTGGGGCTTATTCTTTTAGTTTGGAGTTTCATCCACATGTATGATGCACTCCCAAGAGCTGTTCCTTCATCTGATATGAATGAGAGTCAATGACAAATACAGGGCACTTGTTCCTACAGATGCCATATTGCAATGACCTCATCAGCGTTTGCCACCCGGCTGATGAAAACTGAATGGTGGGCAGCTGCAGACAGAATCTCACAGTGTAAGTAGTGGGCACGGCCACATGAAGCCTGCAGCGTGCACTCGCCAGGGATGAACAATGATGTTACTATTGCCTCTGTTGATCCAGTGTGTTTTTTTGTAACAGGTTTGAATAGAGTTTAGGCTTAGCATTAGGAAAATACTTGACATAATGACATCCCCCTCCACCAGTTTCAGGGTGATGTGCATTACATCAGCTTTAGGATCTCAATGCAGCACTGTAAAGATGAGCATGTTTGTGCAACTACACTAAAATAAGATCTAAATGCCTCTTTTTTAGTGGAGAAACTCAGTGTTGTTCTCTCGTGAATTATAAGCTGTAAGCATTACTATTTATCCATGGTTGAATTAACAGAGCAATTAAGAGGCACACTATTACTGTCCCTTTCTGCTTGAAGAGAACGAAAATGGTCATTCTGCTGCACTAATAGAAGAACCAGAAAGTAAACATCAAACCCTGCTACATGCATATTTGTTGCAAATTGGCTTTGGCCCATTATCAGTTGAATTAAATATTTTTGTAAGAACAAACCCTTACATTAACCTCTAAGGCCTCCATCCACACTGACAGAACACTTTATTTTGAAAGTTTCATCTCTGACCAAACCCAGCAGGAGTGTGACTGTGTCCAGAAGTGACCTGTGACCACACCCTGCAGTGATGTCACAGTGTCCAGGAGCGCACCTGTATGTCACTGTAGCAGAGTGAGATATTGAACCCAATGTTAGCGTTCTTTTACATCAAGAGCTTCCCAAGCAGAGTCCTGCACTGGTCCAGTTTTGCAAACCTGCACCCACAAAGCTCAGTACGGGAAACAAATAGACACCTGTAATTGGACAATCCTAATCCCCACCCCCTTTAGTTACTGTTGCTAAGTCGGACAAGCTTGACAAAAATAAACACGGAGATGCCGGTTTTGCATAGTTTGCTGCTGCTGTGTTTATCAGTGTTTATAAAATTTAATGAGTCTGTGGAGATTGTAAGGCCTTGTTTACACAGATACCGATACAAATAAAAACAGATTTTTATTTATCCCGTATAAATTTTGGGGGGGGGTTTACACGATCAGTTGTGAAAACGCAAAAACGGCAGCTTTTTGCTGCAATTAGCATGCCAGGCCAGTAGGTGGTGATACGCCATATGTCAAACACCATAGAAGAACGTTCTGCGCATGCACAGTGATTTGTTTTCCTCTTGGAGCTAGTGATAGAAACAATGATAAACTACATTTTAACCTTATGTAGCATAGTTAGCTGCTATGCACTTACTAATATTTGCCACACCAGATGTCTTTTTTCGCCGATGTAGCGGTGAAGTTGATGCAGCAGTGCTAAGTTCATTTGTAAGCTCATAAGTAGTCCCAAAAGTGCAAACAAAACGTAAATAACCCGGCATATATCCGCCATTGTCGTTGTGGTTCCTGGGCGCCTAATGGGCATGCGCGAAGTGGGTTGCAACGTCATCGTTTTCCAAAATCTCCGTCTATCCTGTTTACACGTCTCCACAGAAATGGATATTTTTAAAAACTTTCACATTGAAGGCCGTTTTTGAAAATCTCCGTTTTCATCGAGAAAAACGCCAGTTCCGTGTAAATGATAGGTGCAAACGCAAAGATAAATACCCGTTTTCAGAAATATACGGAACCATATAAACAGGTCCTAAGAGTTCCCCAGCCACATCTTTTTTACCATCTTCAAGATATGGTTTTCTTTTCAGCACAGAGACGCCTAGCACATAGCTTATCTAAGTATAAAAGGAAAGCTGAAAGTTCACCGAGGTTCAGCCATGTTCCAAAAAGGGGCAGGACTTAGGAAGGGCTAATTATCTCCAAGTCAAGTCCAGACAAAGCAAACCTTCTCGCTGGTGCTTCCTAAATGAACAGACTGATATCTCTGAAGCTTAACTGACTCGGTGTTATCTTGTGATGATTAAGTGTTCCCTTAATTTTTTTGAGCAGCCATCTAGCGGGTACTCAACCAGGACTCTGTTGCTAGGTGTATTGTCCTTACTGTTGGCATTAATACATTTCAGAAAGTATTGAGAACACGTCTAAACAAGTACCACTTTAAGACATTTCTGGTATTTTCAGTAGGTCTGCTTAACTTTAAAATGAAATGTTAAAAAAACAAACACTTTATAAATAAAACAGTGATTCATGTCACAGCGTGCTTACTTACATATTTAAGCAATATTTTATTAAATTAAAAGCAATGGAACCAAGAAACCTTTGCGTTTTTGCATAGGCATTAATGAAAGATTTATGTTGCACAGCTCTGATGTTTAGATG